CGGCGGGGTGCTGTCCCCACACCGGAGCGAATTCGTCTCTCGGCGCGCGCTCCTTCAGCCAGCGCTTCTCAGCGGTTTATCCCTGGCTGTCCTAAGGGAAACTAAGCAGAGGAATGAGTGTGAGTTCCAGTCTTCGGGCCAGGCTGTTGACGTAATGATAGTGGCAGAGCCCAGCTGTCCTTAAAGAAGAGACTGAGTGAAGCTCTCAATCTGTATTTTAAGAGAAATGTGGGTTACAGTAGAGACGTGACTGTCAATTACTAGGCTGCGTTTACAGGTACAGGAAAAGAAATTTCTTTGAATAGAACAGATGGTTTCAGTTGGAAGGGACCTACAACGATCATCTGGCCCAACTGCCTGACCGCTTCAGGGCTGACCAAAAGTTAAAGTATGTTATTAAGGGCACTGTCCAAACGCCTCTTAAACACTGACAGGCTTAGGGCATCAACCGCCTCTCCCTAGGAAGCCTGTTCCAGGGTTTGCCCACCCTCTCCGTAAAGAAATGTTTCTTAATGTCCCGTCTAAACCTCCCTTGCTGCAGCTTTGAACCATTTCCATGCGTCCTGTCACTGGATCCCAGGGAGAAGTGCTCAGTACCTCTCTCTCCAGTTTCCCTCCTCAGGAAGCTGTAGAAAGCAATGAGGTCACCCCTCAGCCTCCTTTTCTCCAAACCGGACAAGCTCAAAGTCCTCAGGCACTCCTCGTAGGACATTCCTTCCAGCCCTTTCACCAGCTTTGTTGCCCTCCTCTGGACACATTCAAGGACCTTCACATCCATCTTAAATTGTGGGGCCCAGAACTGCACATTCACATCCGACTTAAATGGTGGGGCCCAGAACTGCACACAGTACTCAAGGCGAGGCTGCACCAACACTGAATACAGTGGGATAATCACCTCTCTTGACCGGCTGGTTATACTGTGTTTGATGCCCCCCAGGATGCGGTTTGCCCTCTTGGCTGCCAGGGCACACTGCTGACCCATATCGAGCCTGCTGCCGACCAGCACCCCCAGATCCCTTTCTGCAGGGCTTTCCTGCTCTCCAGCCACTCCTCTCCCCATTTACACTCGTGCCCGGCATTACTCCATCCCAGGTGCAGAATCTGGCACTTGGACTCGTTAAATTTCATCGCGTTAAGCATTGCCCAATGCTCCAATCTATCTAGATCCCTCTGCAAGGCATCTTGTCCCTCAAGAGAGCCAACAGCACCTCCCAGTTTGGTATCACCAGCAAACTCGCTAATGGTGCATTCAACTCCTGCATCCAGATCGTTGATAAATACGTTGAACAGGACTGGCCCTAGAATTGAGCCCTGAGGAACACCGCTGGTGTTCCAGCCAGATGCAGGCCCATTCACTGCAACCCTTTGAGCTCTGCCCTTCAGCCAGTTCTTCACCCAGCGCACCATGAACCTGCTCGTCCCACAGCTGGACAACTTGTCCAGAAGGATGCTGTGAGGGACGGTACCAAAAGCCTCCAGAAAAACTACATCCACCGCCTTTCCTTCATCCACCAGGTGGGTGACCTTATCATAGAAGGATATAAGATCAGTTAAACGGGACTTCCCTTTGTGAATCCATGCTGACTGTGCCTGATGATTGCGTTATTCTTTAAATGCCTTTCAGGAGTACCCACTATGACCTTCTCCATAATTTTTCCAGGAAGTGAGGTTAAACTAACAGGTCTGTAGTTTCCCGGGTCTTCCCTCACGCCCTTCTTTAGAATAGTTTGGGTTGGAAGGGACCTTTAAAGATCATCTAGTCCAACCCCCCTGCCATGGGCAGGGACATCTTCCACTAGATCATGTTGATCAAGGCCACAACCAACCCGACTTTGAACACTTCAGGGGTGGGCATTCACAACTTCTCTGGACAACCTGTTTCAGTGTCTCATCACTCTCATTGTAAAAAAGTTCTTCCCTATGTCCAATCTAAACCTACCCTGAACACTTCAGGGGTGGGCATTCACAACTTCTCTGGACAACCTGTTTCAGTGTCTCATCACTCTCATTGTAAAAAAGTTCTTCCCTATGTCCAATCTAAACCTACCCTCTTTCAGTTTAAAACTGTTGCCCCTTGTCCTGTCGCTACAGGCCCTGGTAAGAAGTCTCTCTCCATCTTTCTTATAAGCCCTCCTTATATATTGAAAGGCCACAATAAGGTCTCCCCGCAGCCTTCTCCAGGCTGAACAACCCCAGCTCAGCCTTTCTTCATAGGAGAGGTGTTCCAGCCCTCTGACCATTTTTGTGGCCCTCCTCTGAACTGGCTTTATCAGGTCCATGTCTTTCTTGAGCTGGAGACCCCTGACCTGGATGCAGTACTGCAGGTGGGGTCTCACCAGAGCAGAGGAGAGGGGGAGGATCACGTCCCTCGACCTGCTGGTCGCGCTTCTTTTTGTGCAGCCCAGGATATGGTTGGCTCTCTGGGCTGCAGGTGCACACTGCTGGCTCATGTCCAGTTTTTCATCCACCAGTACCCCCAAGTCCTTCTCTTCAGGGCTGCTCTCAATTCATTCATTCCCCAGTCTGTACTGATACTGGTAATTTGACTGACTCAGGTGCAGGGCTTTGCACTTGGCCTTGTTGAACTTCATGAGGTTCACATGGGCCCACTTCTCAAGCCCGTCAAGATCCCTCTGGATGGCATCCCTTACCTTTAGTGTGTCAGCTGCACCACTCAGTGTGGTGTCATCTGCAAACTTGCTGAGGGTGCACTTAATCCCACTATGTCATTGATGAAGATACTAAATATTATTGGTCCTAATACGGACCCTTGTGAGACACCATTCGTTACTGGTTTCCACTTTGACATTGAGCCATTGATTTTAATTTGTTAGAGAAGGCCAACTAGCCAGTTCCTTATCCATCTAACAGTCCATCTGACAAACCCATATCTCTCCAATTTAGCGGCAAGAATGTTATGGGGGACCATACCAAAGCCCTTACAGAAGTCCACGTAGATGACATCTGTAGTTCTTCCCTTGTCCACTGATGCAGTTACTCCATTGTAGAAGGCCACTAGATTAGTCAGGCATGATTTGCCATTCGTGAAGCCATGTTGTCTGTTTCAAATCACCTCCCTGTCTTCCATATGTTTCAACATGTCTTCCAGGAGGATCAGTTCCCAGGGTACTCCTTTTGTCCTTTTTAAACATGGGTGTGATGTTTCCCTTTCTCCAGTCACTGGGGACTTTCCCTGACTGCCGTGACTTTTCAGATATGACGGAGAGCGCATTGCCAACTACATCAGCCAATTCTCTCAGGACCCTGGGATGCATCTCATTGTGTCCCGTGGATGTGAGTATGTTCAGGTTCCTCCGGTGGTCCTGAACCTGATCTTCTCCTACCATGGGAGGGACTTCATTCCCTCAATCCCTGCCTTGAAGTTCAGGGGCTTGAGAGATGTGGGAAGAGAGATTACCATTGAAAACTGAGGCAAAAAAATTGTTGAGTACCTCAGCCTTCTCCATGTTGGTTGTCACCAGCTCTTCTGTCTTATTTACCACGGGGAGTACATTTTCTTTAATCTTCCTTTTCTGGCCAATGTATCTGTAAAAGCCAGTCTTACTTTTCTTTGCATCCCTTGCCAAATTCAGTATAGCAATAATCTGTCACAATTTGACTAGTCCTCAAGAGAGAAGCTTTGTCTTTACTAGTAGCTATGGAAACTGCATGACAGTTACCTTCCTGCAGAGTTTCATGTTGTGAAATGAGCAATGTCATATAGTTAGACTTGGATTATTACTGAATCTTGCAGTAAGCATGAATCCCAAATCATGGACGTGTTCCTGAGTGAACATGCTGTGATAATTTTAAAGGGATAACTTCTGTATTTTAACATTCAGCTATATGCCTTATTCTCCTTTTAAACCTACAAATGTTTTTCATACATCTGCATTTATTTTTTTGTGCTTTGTTCTGGATTGCAGGTAAAATATGCCTTTGAATCACATTTGACTCATAATAAGCCAGTTTTGCCTTTCTGTAAGCTGCTATGGTAGTTGAAAGCACAGAAAAAGTTTGAAATGAGATTTCTGTGGTGTTAATGTTTCCTTCTGTCCTTTATGTTCGCTGCAGCCTAAGTCATGTTTCACCTGCTTAGTCACACATTTATTATTGTAGTAAGGAGCATTTCAAGGCTATAGTCACCAGGACATCGTAGTAGTCACTCAGCGAGAACTTCTGTCTGTTTCACAAAGGTCTTTTTTGAATAAGATCAATACTATATTTGTGCAGGCTTTTTGGCAGTGAGAGTCTACATCAGATAATTGGTGCTATCCCGTGAGGGGTTCACAAGCTATTCATATCCCTTGTGACACACTAATTTCCACACGAACTGGGAAGAGAGTTGCTGCAGTTTTGTTTGTTTGTTTGTTTTAAATAAACTGGAGTGCTGTCCCACACTAGCCTGCTCAGTTTCCTCCTTAGCTAGGTGAGACAAGGAAGCAGCAAACTGAAATTCCTTGGCTGAGCAAGGGTAGTAGTACAATACTACAGAAGCATTGAGTCTTTTTGTCTTCTGCTATTATTTCTATTACTGGCACTTGTAAGGCCTCAAACAAGATCTAATCTTGATCTGTGCTCTGTCCATGTAATGAGAGACTAGGTGTTCTGCCCTGAATTCCAGCAGAGACATGATGAAAGAAATTTGAGAAAAGACTTAGCCAACATCAGTAGCTGAGCTGCTACAGGTCAAATCTTAGAACTGTCAGGCCTTCCAGTCAAATGAAGGAGGATTAAGATGAGGTCCTGGATTCTTCAGCTGGATCTATTTAGAAGAGGGTGGTGTGTATGGCATGGGGATAAATAAAGAAATAGGCAGCAGAGGGAAGAGTGGGTGGATCTTCCCAGGAATTAGTTGGGAAAGCAGTTTTGGAAGAGCATGGTGTGTTTCCAGAGTAGGATGAGGCAGGCTGAAGACTGGGGAGAGCAGTAGGGTGGTCATGGGTTCATTTTCCCTTAACTGAACTGGTAGCCTGGCTTTGTGAAGTTCCCAAGAGGTCCCTGGCTATCTATTCTGGGGCAGAGTTTAAGCAACGTAGGAAAAGACTCTTTTCTTTAGGAAAGAGTACCTAGCTGGGAGCAAGGAAGGGAGAACAGAAAGTTCCCACAGTAAATAAAGGCCGGCTGGGCAAAAAGCGAGGCAAAAGGTGCAAGCGTCAGAGTGTATGTTGTCCCAGTGCACTGTCTGTAAGGTTGTGAAAGGCTGTTGGAGGTATAAATTCTAGAAAGCAAGGGAATGACTGTACCTATGCTTTGAGGAGCTGGTATAGGGCTTTTCATTTCCTCCCTGGACCCAGATCTGTGGGAGCATGAGTAGACCTGAAGTGACATGACTGATCTGGCAGCTGGTGAAAACATCAGAAAACCTCCTTCTTGGTGTGCCTCTAACCTAGAGGAAACCTATGTTGCTTGTCAGTGCAGGCACAGGATGATGCTATGCATACATAATTGGTAAGCCATTTGGTGACATTTGGATTTACTGAAATAAGTATGCTGTAATGCACAACCAGTGTAATAACCCCAGGCATGGTTGGACAGGGAACTTCTTGTCTACAGTGTTAATAGGCAGTATGGTATTTACGAGCTCAGTCTTCTGGGTATTACAGCAGTTGCTTGATTGAGACAAATACATATGATGGGTTTGGAATAGGAACACTTATAGGGAGGCAAATCTAGCCTTGAAGCAATGTTAATCCTCAAATGTACCATGTAAAACTGCCTGAAAACAATTGACAGACCTGTTCCTGACGGAGAATGTCTTGCCAATTTAACTTGTTAACGGGAACATAGTGACTTCATGTAAAAATGGGAATGTTCCATCTGGTAAGTTCAAGACACTTCAAGAGTCTTTACACATGTGACTTCTCAGTGACCACATTCTCTCTACACGACCTACCTCCTCTACAATGCAGTTCGTCTCTGATGAGTTCCTGTTTAAAACAACTGAAACACCTCTCTTCACTGTTGATTAGTTTCATTAACTGCTGTATTGACCCCCAAGGTAAGTGTTTTGCAAACTACCAGCATCATAAATGCCAACTTGACCAAACCTGTCCCAGGTTTTATGTGTTGTGTGTATCCACAGCCACAAAGTTCCTTTGCCAAGGCTGCTTGTTCTAATATCACCAAGGGGAAAAAAAAAACCCCTTCTGATTCCGTTACAAATTATATGGGGATGGGGATGCAAAGTATATGACAGCAACTGACGGGAAGAAAGAACTATTCTTACACCTCAAATGTGAGTCTAGTTTTGCATTGCATGCTTATCCCAATGAATAATGTCTATTCAGGCTGGAGATATGAAGTGATATACTTCCTTTTGGTAAGCTTAAGAGGCAACCTAGACTGTCAGGTGTGATCTTTTGGACCAAATGAGAACAGACAGGGCAACATTTAGAAGACTGACATTTGAAGTTTTTTAAATACTTGGAGCCATGCTATAAACCAAACTATAGTAAAATATCTCATTCTTTAAGCATGCTGTCTGTCCTATGTCTGCATTCTGGTTGCTTGCTAGACAATGCGTGATATAAACATGGAGTTTAGTTAGCTTGGTATCACCATACTATTCAGGAGTAAGCACTGCTTTTTTTCCCCATGGAAGAAGGAGAATTAACCAAATTTAGTGATTGGAATGACTTTGTTGCAGTGTTCTTTATATCCTGTTTCTTTTTTTTCTTCTTTTTTTCCCCCCATCCCCTCTGTGTATCACAGAGTCACAGAATGGCTGAGGTTGGCAAGGACCTCTGGAGGTCATCTGGTCCAATGCCCCCGATCTCAAGCAGGGCTACCCAGAGCCAGTTGCCTAGGTCCATGTCCAGACGGCTTTTGAATATCTCCAAGAAGGGGAACTTTACAACCTTAGTGGGCAACTAGTGCCTGGGCTTGGTCACCCTCACAGTAAAAAAGTGTTTCCTGATGTTCAGGAGGAGCCTCCTGTGTTTCAGCCTGTGCCCGTTGTGCGACTGTTCACTCAACTCCTGCTCAGGTTTTGGCTAACACACAGCTCATGCTGAGGCCTGATGCATGCTGGGAGCAGCGCCATTTGGTCAAAGTGAGGGCAACATGTAGGCAGGACATGGTGGCCAGAAAGGGCTAAACGTCATTATGCAGCCACTGTCACCTGCAACTTGCTGTCTCCTGCAGCCATAATCCTTTCGTATTGGTTGTCTGGCAGTTTCTTCAGGATCTGCTAACTCATGGAAATGTTATAGACCAAACTTCCAAATATGTCAGCTTACCCAAAAAGTTTTTGAAGTGGATCCAACAGCAGCTGGGC